GCGCTTGGTCTGAGCCTGGCTTCCCAGAGAGCTGCCTCCCTCATGGCTGAGGACATGGGAGGCATTTTGCCAGGCTCTCCTGCAGCTCGGTAAGGGTGGGGGAGTCCAAGACACAGGGACCCCTGTTCCCGCTGCTGGTGAGAGCACAGGAGTGATCACTCACTTGCTCCCCACTTCGGCCAGCTGGGTTTAATTTTAGAAACACAGTGCTATCTTGGGGCATCTTTTTCCACGGAATGCAAGTCTTTAAGTAAATAAATAACAGCTTTGTGGAGGTGGAATGACGGCCCATAACCACACTGCAAAACACGCACCGAGCAAGTCGAGCTCCATTTCGCTTGCATGTGGAACTACTTTGTACAGATACAGTGGCTGCACCGCCTCCCTCCCCTCCTTCAGCCCCCTCCGGAGCTGGCCATGTGCATTGATTAAAAAGAAATAAAACCACCTTGAAATACCAGCTTTGGAGAAGTGGAAATGAAAACCCCTCCAGCTGCTGGGGTTCAGCTAGAGTTCTCTGGCATAGGTTTCCAAAAGTTATGGTTTACTGGCGATGGGCTGTTACTGGCCATGCCTCTGCTGCATGTGGGACATCCCAGAGGGATGTGCTCTGAGGCATCCTCAGTGAGCCGGGAGGGAAACAGCAGACTATAAAGAAGAGTGCAAAAAAACTTGTGTATAAATACCCCTCCCAGCCTGTCTGGCCAAGAGCCTTCTGTATGCAGTTGTGTTGCTGATGGCTGAAGGTCCTGGGTGTGTCCCTCAAAGCGTGTTTGCTGGATGGAAAATCCTGTTAAAGCCATTTTACCAGAGCAAGAGCCCATTTTTACTGCTCAAGTCCAGCAGCTCTGAAATGCCTGCATGGCATCTGTTGCATAAGCTACTGGTAACCCTGTTCCCTTGAGTCGGCAAGGTGAGCTCCTCTGAAGCTCTCAGTCTGAGCAAGACCTTACCACAGCGATCTTCCTCTGATGTAGGGACTTCAGAGATGCACCTAATTCTCTAAGATGGAACAAATGGCATCAAAAACACCCAGGCTCATGGCTGCAAATTTCTGCTGCTGCTGGGACAAGGCGGTGGCTGAGATGACAGGATACTGGGCTTACAAGGAAATCGGGTCAGGAGCACCCATCCTGGGTGTGTTAGGGGTTGGCAGTAGCGCTTCTGGCTGCCTCCTCAAAGCCAAAGGGGTGGCTAGACTGTGCCTAATTGCAGAGGTATGAATGGGCTTTGGAAATGGTCTTCGTAGTGAGTGGGCTTGAAATCAGTGTCTGTTGCTTGGAAAAAGCATTGTGTAGCATCCTGATGCCACATGCAGACAGGATGTTTGAAGAGGTTTTGCTCTGGTCTTCCTCTCACAGGACGAGAAGTTTATCTTGTCCTTTTTCCTATAGCCTTTGTCAGGGCAAGACTGACAGTTTTGTGTGTTTGTTCAGGGCTGGTTGCAGTATTTGGATTCACTGCAGGGCCTGGGGGTTGCCAGCTGCCCCCTCAGCCTTGCCGGTGGCTTCCCTTCCCCACAGGCTCTGAGAGCGGGAGGATTTTCCATGTGGTTTTGCCTGCTGCTCCTCAGCAAACTACCTGGCTTAGCCATCTCCTCTCCTCCCTGGCTTCAGCCTGCTGCTTTCACTGATACCACAGGTCTGGAGGGAATTTTATTTAATTTTTTGTAAACTCCAGTGAAGTCCCTGTCCTGTGGGGCCGGGCAAGCTCTGCTCGTGTTCTCTATAAGCCTGGGATCAGGGCGGCCCTGGCAGCAGCTTGTCTTTTCCACTGATCCCAATTAAGATTCGGTCTTGGCAGGATGGAGCCTTTTGAGCTGCCAGCTGCAGTAGGAGAGATGAGGCTTCAGGGGCAGTAGAAATTATTCACTTCCCTCAGCTCAGCTCATTTCTTGGATCTGGGCTGAGGATGGCCCCAGGAGTTGATCTGCAGGAGCCAAATGAGCCACACAGAGCTCAAACATTTCCATTCGGTGTCAGGCCCAGGGTGGGGAAGCGCAGCTCCCCGAAGCGCAGAGACTGTGGGTGGCAGCTGGGGAGGGTGCAGCCCTTCCAGCCTCGCTGGAACTCGGCGCGCGGGGAGGCCGGAGTGCTGAAACAGCCCCGTTAATGACACGGGAGTTCGTTAGGGCCTTGGGAAGTGGCAGCACTGGCAGGTGAGAGCTGCCCAGCCCCTCTCCCAGCCCCGCAGGAGCAGCCGCCACCGGCCGGGTCTCTGCCCGGTGTGACGCTGCACAGCTCTGCTGGTGTTGGTGGAGCTTTGCCACAACGTGCGCCAGCTGGTAACTGGCCTAGGGCACTACTGATGGCGCGACTGTGTAGCTGATGGCACGTGTTATTTTCCAAGCATAATATTAACACAACTTTACCGTTGCCTGACCCTCCTGCAGCCTTCTCCTCTTCCTCCCCCACCTCCTGTCACTCCTGTCACACTGCAGCCAAGCTGCCCTTGACATTGCAACTAAGAAACTCTGCTTTTGCTGGCCTTGTGTCCTTTCAGCTGTGCACCCTGGAAGTATCACGGGTACAGAAGAGAGTGTTTCTGTTGCATTTATTTTTAAGACTAAATCCATGCGGGAACAGTTTAGTAGGTATTGAGAGTTTCTGGTTTTGAGTGGGCTCTACAGAATTTAAGGATAAGCTCTATGCCCTCTCTGTTGATGGAGCTATTGTTGAAGCAATTGTCTCTAACACCGTTGCTAATTTGGGCTTCTAGAAACAACCCTTAAGCCATAATGAAGTGTGAAGCTTTGCTCCGTGGAGCAAGTGATGTGTGGCTGGCGTCTTGGAGGGCCACAGACACTAGACAGCTTGCCTGATGGCCATGGCCATGCCATCACAGACGGGTTGTGCCCATGAAGCCAAGCAATACCTGGTTTGTCGTGCAGCTCTGCTCGGACCAAAGCTCAGCAGTGTCTCGGGACACCCATCCCTTCCGGTGAACTTGCATGCACCTGCCCTTCGCAGCTGTTACTTTGGGTACCCTTCGCTCCCCAAAGGAGCAAGCAGGGTAGCTACAAAAATAGTGATGCTAAACTGAAAACTTTCTAAACATGGCACTGGCAGCATGGAGAAAGGTGGAGATTGCTGGATTTGTGTCTCTGCTACTGCTGTTTAAGCTTGTTCTGATCAGAATGAGAATCCACTCTTACGACAGGGTGCACTGAGCTCACCCAAAGCCCTTCAGGCCCAGTCTGTGAAAAAGGATTTGGCCACTCTACCCTGTGCCTTTCTGGGGAGCGTGCCAGCCAAGTCAGGGGTTTGCCTGCCATCATCATGGCTTTGCAGTGCTCCTCAGATTCACTGTTTTTTGAGACATATGTTGAGGCTTTAACCTGCACTCTCTAAAAAAAATGAAAGCCTAGTCAGTCCACTGCAACCAGAAACTCCTCCAACTGTTTGCAGGTTCCCTGAAATGCTAAGCTTCTCTTGGAGCAAAGCTCTAGTAAGTGCAGGGAAGTGAACAGTGTTTCCATTTAACTAATTAGCAGTCCTGTGTCCTGGCCAAAGCACACACGGTGTTACAGCCATTTTTAAGCTGTTACATGCCTGCATAACTGCTGCTGTGGCAGCCAGGAGCTGTAAACTAGCGAAGGGCCAAGGAAGGGGTGGGACGGAGGGCCAGATTCTGTTCAGTCAAGTCCTGTGTAAAGCTGAGTAATGTCAGCAACTTACACAGAATTACCGCAGGTCACCAGTGGTTTAGAATAGCCAAAAAATTCTTTCCCCTTTTTAGTGCTCAGCTGTTGCTTTTAGACTCTGATTTTGAGTGGTTACCATCCAGAAGAGGTCCCTTCCTAAGGTATTTCAAGATGTGTCGTCCCTCTATGCCCCACTCTTCTTTCCCCAGCACTTTTTGAAAGCACTGCTTGCTTTGACATAGATTTAATCTCTTTCAGAATATTTAGTGACCAGCTTCCGCTGGCTTCTCCTTTATATGCCACATCTAATTTTTTCCAGGGCAGTCTGAGGGTGGGGTACCTAGCCTCAGGATGTGGCCATGAAGGGAAGACAGGCTGATCTGCCATGAAAGATGAAGGCTGGATTAGCAGTGAACAGACAGTAACACATAAATGGGACATTAGCTGGCACTAAAGTGAATTTCCAGCAGAAAAAAGCTATACTGCATATGCATTGTGAGGGCTACCATGATCTACAGTATTTGCATTCCTGTTGTGTTTGGCATGTGCTGTCAGGGCTGCCACTTGTGCTCTTACAGCGTCCTTTAGGAGGAGGAGGTGCTGGGCTCGGTGCTTTACACTGTTTCCTTTGCTTAAACCTTAAAAAACCTGGTTGCAAATTAGGAAGCAGCTCCTAGAGAAAGGATGTAGAGCTTTGTGCTATTGTCCCAGAATCAGCAGCATTTGGAGGCTGTACCTGGAGAGAGAGACCCTCCAGCAGTACAGCTGCCTCCTTACAGAGCACCTGCGCTGCAGCGCTGCTCGTTACAGGGAACTGTTCAACTGACTCAACTTCCTTCGGTAGCAACAGGCCTTCTCGATAGCTGAAGAGGTAAGAGCTTTCCTGAAAGCTCTGAGGGATCAGAAGGGGAATTTCCTGTAGACTTATTCATGATTCTGGAGGGGTGATCTTCTGTACTAAGTCTAAGACTAAGAGGGATTGCTCTGGAGGCACCAGTTCCTTATGTTACTCTGCCACACGAAGCTGTGCGGTCATACACAGCTACTGACTTGGAACAGTCACATAGGAGAAGCTGGGATAATGATGAGATGATAAATTATGATTTATCTACATGATTATTCAGTTTAAGAACAGCCAGCTAGATAGAAATTTCACTCAACAAAAAAAAAGAAATAATAGATTCCTTACAGTAATAAGCTGTTGTGACTGATCCCTTGCTGACTGCTGACTAATCATTGCAACTTATACAGTGTCTTGTTGCTTCTCCCGAGTTACCTATTCCTGGAAGCTTGTGGATTAAAACATAGATGTTCCATTGAATGAATAAAAAGGGTACTCAAAGTAATGCAAAACATATTCCATTACAACTAGTATTTATTAAAAATGCAGTGGACAAAAAAAAGCAAGCCTCCAAAAAGTAGTCACGTCATCAACATATATTACACCATTGCCCACCCAGCACCACTGAAACATACAGTGCTGTCAGCTCATTTCTCTCACAAAATGTTCTGTTGACTCGTGCTTGGTTCATTATCTATAAATGTGCATAGTTTCAAGATTTGATAATGTAATATGAGCATAAAATGGCACCAAAGTCTGTTTGCCCAAAGATTCCAGCCACTCTCAACCCAAGAAAGCAGTGAAATGTGCGTAAGGAGTAAAATGTGCGTGGCAGTAGTGTGTGCTCTGCTGTCCCTTGTACGGTCTCAAGTCCTCTGAGTGAGCTTTACAGCATGACAGCAAACTTCTCAGAAGCCGAAGAATCATATGCCTCAAAGCATCATTTTATTACTGCTGAGCAGCTCTAGTTTCCTTTTCATCCTCAAAACTAGCTAGAGACTGGGTGAAGGCAGGGAGGGCAGGATGTGTTGTGCATGTTAGGGGGGTTTAAGTGCTTCTGTAAATAAGTTAACCAAGCAGGTTACACGTGCCTTTCTTTTTCCTGGCACTTTGTTTCCAGATGGAGGTAGGGAAGCTTTTGCGCTTTGGGCACAGCAGTTCCACAGATGAACACAGTTGCAGGGTCAGGGGGGTGGCTGGTGCTCAGTACGGCAGTGCGAGGGTCACTCCCGGGAAGGAGCAGGAGTTGCCCCTATGATTAACTTACAGACAGATCAGTGATATCCGGGAAATCAGGACTGTAACACTGAATGTAGGTATACAAATGTTTATGGAGTTGAGGTACCAGGCTTTCCAGACTCCTTCCCCTTTCTGCTGTAGTTGCTCTGTGTGTCTCAGTGACAGTGAATAAAGAATCAAATTTATTCACTTGCAAGAGAAAAAGTGCCTTCTATGGTAGCTAGTATATGAGATTTACAAAGGATTTGTAGTAAAACCTATTGCCTCCTCATCTTGGACCTCTGCTTACTTTAGGTGAGCAGGATGTGCGTGACTGGTGTGTGCTTTACTGATGCTCACAGTAATTTAACCTTATTTCGTGAGAAGCAGATACTTGCAGAGTTTAAGATGCTTTTTAGGTAGCCTCTTTGACGTTATTAGAGCTGCCTTCAACTCTGTGCGTATGGAGAGGGAGCACCCTGAATCATATGCAACTTCACATTAGCCATAAGTATTAGAAAACAAGTAAACCAAAGTTGAAAACACCCTGTTCAGAGCTTTAAATTAACATTTGAAAAGGATCCATCAGTATTAACAACAATGTTGGGTAATTTCTTGTATAGGATAGTCAATTATCAAAGCTATTTAATGCTACATGACAGTGGCCACTGGTACATTTATGGTGACACTTAAGTGCTCTGAGGCCAGAAGACTTCATGAAAGACAATTAGAGAAACATGCAGGAAAACACTCTGGCTGAGGCAACAGCAACTACCTTACTCTTCCAAATGGCTACTCGTCTTAAAGTTTGTTTTATCTGTCAGGACTATGCAGGTTGCTGGTTACTAGGAGCTGCACTGTAGGATTAAAAAACTGGAGGTCTTCTGGGGCTTGGTGTGTGACATTGATTTCTAAAGTCAGGGAGAGCTGACACCTACTTCTGTGCATGGCATAATTAAGCCCTTAAGCATGCAGATGCAGGGCCTCAATGTCTTTGAGTGCTAAGGTCAAAATGCTGTAACATGCTTCTAACATAGTAAAAGATATATTTCAGATCAGAAAAGTAATTCTTCCAAAATCAGAAAAGTAATTCTTCCAAACCCAGAAATCCTCTGTTTATATTTTACTCAAGGCAGAGAACTGGGCAGCTGCCATCTTTCTGTTCTTTTGAAACTGGTAAATGGGCATTTCCCATTTGCAGGGGAAGTAGCAGTAGCAATGCAAAGGGACAGGAGCTGCCCCACAGTTTTTATCTCTGCTGTATGGGAAGGTTCCTGACTTCTGCTATTCACACTGTTACCTTCTAAGTTCAGCTAAGGAGGTCAGCAGGACAGACACACACAATTCTGAAATCTTAATCCTTGACTTAAAAGTAGTTGCCAAAAACCAGCACTTTCAGCACTTGTTTCATATCCAGAGCTCACGGTTGCATGGTGTGATGACAGCAGCTGTGAATATTTCACAGCAAAAAGGAAAAAAAAAAAAGCCCAAAACACCTCTGTGGTATAACTGAGAATCTTTCCTCAAGCTCATGGTGAGAACACTGAAATGAAAGTATTGGCACAGTGGTGAAGTCTGTCCTCTAAAAAACATGTATGGTTATCAACAGGGATAAGTGGCTTCACTGTTCACGCAGCAATAAGCTGACAGGGTAAGGCAAAACTGGAGTCGTAGGGTTGTTGGATGATATACCTGCTGAGGCCTCCAAGCCTACCAGTTGAGCAAAAGTAGTACTGTAAGAGCCTGAAGATGAGCAGTGGTCACCTGGAGGTGTCTGGATATGATCTAGGCCCTTGAGAAGTCTCCCCTCTGCCCACCTGTCTTACTAAGCAACTTGACCTCTTCAATCACAATGTCATGAGTAACTGCTTTGCACATGTCGTACACAGTCAGGGCAGCCAGGCTGGCAGCCATGAGGGCTTCCATCTCCACACCTGTCCTCCCCCAGGTCTGGCAGGAGCTGCGAATCACCACTGCGTATCTGGCCTCATCCAGGCTCAGAGACACCTCAACATGGTTGAGGGGGATGTTGTGACACAATGGGATCAACTGGCTGGTCAGCTTGGCTCCCTGAATTCCTGCAATCTGGGCGACTGCCAGCACATCCCCTTTCTTCACCTGGTTCTGCCTCACCATCCCAAATGCCTTCTCACCCAGGCGGACCACAGCACCAGCTACAGCACTTCTTCTTGAATCTGGCTTCCCTCCAACGTCAACCATTGTGGCCCGTCCTTCGTCATCAGTGTGAGTCAAGTTGTCAGAAGCACGAGGTACCTTGGTGCAAGATCCCAAATCTCTGGTGCGGAATTCAGATTCTGGACTTGCCTCTTTGGAATGACTGTCCACAGAAATCCGGCCAACAGGAGAAGCCTCAAGGCACTTTGTGTCAAATGTGGAGCTTGGGTCCTTCTGGAAGACACAGCAGCCTCGGAGCTGGGTTTGTAGAATTCCTGTTGTGTGCCACTGTTGCTCTGGGTGAGATCCTGGCAGGAAAAGTTGTCCTGTAAGCTTATTTTTCATTAATGCTTTTCCCATTTGTTTGGGTAAACTTGTTCTCAAAGTCAGCCAATGGCTAAGTGTGTGGCTGTACTGTTTTGAATTTGGGGGGTTCTGTAGGGCATCTTGACAGAGTGGGAGTGACATCAATGCAGGCTCTGGGGGAAAAAAAAAAAAAAAAGGTAACATGAGAATACATCTCACTAACTGGAAAGCTAAGCTAAGTCTCCAGTAGCTGAGAACCCTGTCACAGCACTGCTCGGGACTTTCTGTATTGTAAAAATCCTCAAAAGGCCTGCAAACATCCACTTTTCTCCTCAAGCTCTTTCTCTTCCCTCTTATCAGTTCCTTGCATTTGCTGGTTTGTTATTACAAACCCCAAGACTCAGAACACTTATTTCAAGGTTCCTGACAAGAAGAAACAATTTGCTTTCAAAATGTATCAACACATATTCAGAAACAGCAGGCAAGAAATCTTATAGGAACATCAGTTCTGCAGAAAAGTAAGTCACCGCACCTCGGCATCCGTTAGAGATTGTGACAGCACCAGTCTTCTTTTGAAAGAAATTCTTGCACTTAGATTCTCAACTCTGCCTTTCCAAACACCTTCCTCCCAGTACAGGCAGCTGCACTTCCTTGCTTTCATCTCCTTCTGCAGGGAAGGGTCATGCCAGCACTGGAGGACAGCAGGGACCAGAAGCACTGCAACTGCCCCGTCTGCGAGCTCAGAGGGTGGCTTTGGGATGAGTATTACTGCCAGCTCTTACCATGTTAATGACAGCTGAAGTTTAAGCATTGGAAAAACCATGCTCCCCTCATTGACAGGTAGATCTTAGATCTACTCAGAAGTATGTTCCAAGTTGAGCTGGCAGAGCTCCCAGCTGGCAGAGAGGTAGTAAGCCCTCCTGCCCCTTTTTACTATTTAATCCCCTGGTTTTGGCATTTGCACAGAAGTCTTTTTCACAAAAAAGTGATCTGGTTTTTAAGTAAAGAGAAAGCAGTATAGAGGTAAGTAGTTAAGCCTTAGTTTAACAGCTTCATTGATAACCATGTTTCTATTTTTTCTGGAGCTCCTGTTCTTTGCTTTGAGAAATGTGGAATTAGGGTTTTGCTCAACAACCTCCTTTGGTAGCTCTGCTATTCAGGGACTCCCTTACTCATGAGTTTTCAGACTGCCCACAGATGAATCAATGCAGCTTCCCGGCCCCTCTGCACCATGCTGAGCTATCTCTGCTGCCCTGACCCACAGGTATCACCTTGAACTGTCCACATGACAGTAACAGATGTGGTGTGGACACCCCACTGGTTATAAGCCTCACACCACCCCCCACTTTCTTTTTAAAAAACAAACAAACAAACAAACAAACCAACCAATCTCTTCCTCGTTAGTCCCAGCCTTTGCAATATAACAAGACTGATACACTTCACACCTTTTCATTCAGTGTACCCTCCAAACACTGATCTGAAAGTTCCCATTACTGAAACTTAAATCAACCATAGATTTCTTTTTTCTTTTCTTTTTTTTTTTTTTTTTTTTTTTTTAATTATTGCACTAATTACATTCAGGCAAAGGCTGATGGCTTACCCACTAAAATTAAGATTTCTGCAAGTTTAGTGGTAATGTGTTTACCCTCAGAAGAATAAGATTAAATGGACAGAAATGTTTTGAGTGCAACATTGCTCTGCTTTAAAAGAGCACAGAAAATTATGCTTATTCCTGCCTTCTTTCCCTCTCCCTTTATAGAACAGGGCCTAATCTGAATATTACTGTTAAAATCCAGGAACTCAAAGTACTCTGTTATGCTGGATCCCATTGTTAGCTTTAAAGCTAAAACTAAAACCATGGCAAGTTGTCTTGTCTTCAGGAGAAGCTATATTGCAGAGGCAGACTAGTACTTCTGCAGGTCAAACACACATGGGTGGGAGAAGGGAAGGGAAGTACAGTTTGCTCAAGTAGAACGGTAAGTAAAAAGACAGCAACAGACAATAAAGCATGCAAAGCTGCATCTTTGCTTTTCCTAACAACCTACTTTTTCTTCAAGTTGTACCTAGTCCTCTCTATCTTCACCCAAATTGCTCATATACCAACTTAAAAATTTATAGTGGTTTTCTACAGCATTATATATAACACAACTGAAACCGTCTGACAAACTGCATTTCCTTCTATTCTATTACTGCACCTGAAGTTTAATTGTGTTAGCTTCCAAGCAGCACACTCCCAGGGAGGAAAAAGAAGGCAGGAGATACTTAAGGAGGAAAGTCCCATAACTGAAGTGAACCTACGAGAACAACCTGCCAAAAGGAATATCTTGATTAAGGGAAATGGGATACAAACCATATAGCAAAGGATCAGACAACAGCTGTGCAGGAAAGAAGACCGGTTTGGCTTACTGGGACTAGCAAAACCAATTAGTGATTTCCACAGCATTCATTAAGTTTCATTAAATTAATTCCATACACACACACCCCCACTGACTGCTTGCACGCCAGCATTGTTTGAAGTTTGTAAGTAATTCAAAACACAATTAGGAAATCTCCTAATGATTCCTCATGTGTCACAGTGGGATACTCTCCACTCATCTCCAGTCTCTCCACTGATGCAGTGACGGCCAGCAGTTAGTCTCAAAGGGACATGGAACAGCTCGAGGAGGACCTGGACAGGCTGCCTCTTTTACAGTATGTCAGACAATGTTAAAGCACTTTTCAAAATGAACTTGGATGGATCTGATCTGTAGACATCCAAACATTACTATGAATGCTAACTCTGGAGTGGGGATTCTTTCAAAGGCATCTTGACAAATTATGTAGGTCCCAGTGAGCTGTCGAGAGTTTAATATAGTACTTTTCACCTTGAAAAAAAAAACACCAGAAAATTTTTTCTCATGCAGGGAGTCGTCAATACACATTTTAAACAAAGGGTCCTCTTTCCTCTTTTCCTGGAACACAGTGCAGGAGTGGCCAAATAGAAAAGAGTTGAGAGATAACCCTGTGCCAGTGAATCCATTCACTTTAAAACTCAATATGGAAAATGATAGCCCTTTAAAGAAGTGAAAAATATTCCCAATGAAAACCTATGTTAAAAGACCTCTGTAGATCCTGTTTCCTAATAAAAACAACAGAAGTACAAGCATTAGGGTCTTGGTTAAAAAAAAAGAGCAGTTACATTACCTTTAGCAAAGACTTGCAAATTAATTCATTACCTGCCCCCACCCCACGGGTACCTGTTTTAAAAGCTGCACAGCAGCTAACCTGCCCCAGAGCATCACTGTGAGGGTAAGAGTTTGGATTTGAACCATAATGTTAATCTCTTCCACTCTTGATGCATTTTTCCCCCTTGTTGGTAAGAAACAACAGAACAACTTCCACTTAATCTCACAATGCTAACTCTCTCTTGCAAGCATTTCTTAAGTCTAAGGAAGAAAAAAGGTATTTGTGAAGATAGCTATCTTACAAAACAGGGAAATGTAGGCATGGAGGAGGTAAAACCACACTGAAAGAGATGTGAAAAAATCAGTAAGAGAACCCGAGCAGTACCACATCGCTCATGAACAGAGCTTCAGGCAGAAGGGAGAGTTAGCAAACATCTTCAATAGACAGAACAAGGAGAAGAAAGGCTTTCGGTCCATAGGACTGCTCAGATACCAGATACTACAGTTTTCATGGTTATGTTCTGAGACTTTGCAGCAATAAGAGGACATTTCAAAAGAATGAAGCCCCAAGTTTCAGATTCTGAAGTAAAGGAGTAGTGAGGTGGGAAAACTTGCATTTCTGTCAAGTTACTGGCTCTATATATATTATAAATAAAGTTGAATTTCTTAATCCAGGGATAAAAGTCCATCCTACACCCTTTAAGTTTATATGGCAACTTGGTCAATTTCCTAAAACTCACCCCAAAGTGTCTCGTAGTTTACTACACCATTCTTTTTAAGTACAAAGGAAGTAGATAGGAAATAAGATAGGCAAGCTAGTGCTCCCTTTGGAAAATGTAATGAACTTTCAAAATTGGAGAAAACAAGACCAGTGCTGTCAATCAGAAGACTGGATAAGGTTTGGTAAGGACATTAAACCTTTCCTCCTCTTCCACTTCAGCATGTTAACCACAACTGTCTTTTAAGAAACCCATTTCTTTGCCTAAACCTAAGCCAGAACCAAACACAAGTTAGACTTAAAGGTCCAATCCACTCTGCTCCCCCAAAGACAAAAACCAAACAAAATTATTTTATGTTTATTACGTACTGATTTGTCACCCACCAATCAGGATCATTGGCCGGTTTTTCATCTGGGAAATGTTAAACATGCCTAGAAATAAAATAAGGAACATATAAAAATCCTAGCTTTTTAGGTTTTAAGTCATGCATCTGGTTTATATATTTAGTTTTCTTCTCTCCACAGTTCAACCTGCATGCTAGGAAAGCCAAAGCTCAATAAAGACCAAGGGAGCTGGAGGAAGCAGAATCTAGCATGGTATTTATATAAAACCATAGCTGCCACAGTCTTCCAGCTAATGTGGGTCTATCACACTGTAGAACCCTTTCCCAGAAAGCTTTCCATAATCTGAACTAGAGTCTACCTGCTACAGAATTCAAACAATCTGGGACTATCATGTTTCTTAACAATACCACTGAACTGTATTAGTTCTATGCATAAACTGTTAACAGTGTTTCCGTTCAAAGAAGTCCAATCACATGAAGGCCCCAGGGACAATACTGGGATTAACACAAACTGGAAGAAAAAAGACAATGTTGGGTAAATGCTGCTGATGGCAAAATGCCTTTACTAGTGGGGAAAACACTCTTCTCTCCCCCCCCACCACTTTCCCAAATCAAAAATCCAGAAATGAATGGTCTAAAAGAAAAGGAGCCCATCCCTCCACCCCTTCCCTTAGGTTTTATAAGGCACTATTTTATCTAGGTCAGACCAATGCACTTTGCAAGTTAGTCAACGCTCAGATCTAAAAGCTTCCTTTAAATTTGTTTTACACGTCATGAAAAATAGGGCAAGATCAACTGTTAGTAGTCTGGTAGAACGTGCAAGAGGACAAAAGGGCCAAAGCATATTTTTCATGTAAAGGGGGCTATTCCATGATCATAAAGCCAGTTCATGTACAAGAGGTCAGCATTCCTAGATGCGGCCAGATTACGAAGATATGGTTAGGTTCAGATGTGGCTGAAATATAGTTTATATCAATGTAAATTCAGAAAAGTCTTATACAGCCTGAGGATGTGACTGAATCATCATGAACCTTGTGTCATGACTTTATGCTGAGCACTAGATGAATAGCTTCAAATTTCTGTATGCTCAGAAAGACATTTGTCACTCCTAGAAAAATGTTAATGCAGTCGTTGGACTGACAGCTCAATTTTAGCTTTAGTACTTAATTTACAGCAAACGCATTTAAAAAAAAAAAAAATGGATCCAGTACAACTCCATCAATTTTTGCTTAGCTTCATGCTTTGCTGTTATTGTGAGCAGGCATATTTACATCTCTTAAGACAAAATCTGTCTAAAAGACTTTTAGATGGTCTGGATTCTAGCTCACATGGAAGAATCGAAGACTCAAAACTGACATCCAGATTTTGGAGGAACTGCAGGACTGGTATGCTACCAGCTTTCTACCAGACAATACTCTTATCACATGGGAAAATTCTTTCCTTAGATCAGCTTCATTCAAGAAGCTTTTCCTTCTTTTTTTTTCTCCTGGTAAGTCAGTGTGTATGACAGCAGTACCAGAACGTTGCTTTCCCTAGTAGCTGCTGTTATTTCTCAGGTACAACAAACATACCAGCATGCTGTTTCTTTTTTCTGCCCACAGCTGCTCCAATTATTTGAACCAACTCTTCCTCTGAGGCACCCGACCGTAGGTGATCTCTCAAGGACACTTCTGAATTCCCAAAAAGGCACACCTGCAGCCAACCCAAGGAAACAAAAGAGAAAGGAGAAAGAATAAAATAAATGGCTGTTACAGGTATTTCATACTAACCTCAGAGTAAAGAGTTTGGAAGAGGCCTATCCTACTGAAGAAAGAAAACCATTTATGGAGATTGTTTTCTTTATCTCTCTTCATGTACACACAGAGACAGCCTGAGACACTTATGTAGCCTAAGCTCATTGGGCCTTTAGGCTGCCTCAGCCATCTGACATTAGACAGCAGCACAGCTGCTGTCAATATCAGGTGACAATGCACAAGTGCCAATTTTTAATTGAAAACTTAAATTTTTCCCCCAGAAACTGCCAGTTTCAACGTGGCAGGAAATGGTTATCCTTCCCCTTTCTACAGTTGTTAAGCAAATGTACAGGCTGCTCTTGAAGGAGAAGAGTTGCAAGAAGATGTTTGGTGAAACAAGACAGGATCCTTGTGGAACACAAAAGCCAAGCCCTCACAGCTGCATGGATCCTTTTAAAATGGGAAATCATCTGCTTGTCACATGTTTAAGATGATTTTGAATCAAAGATTAAAATAAATGTTTATATTTACTGGGCTTGCAATCATGTTTTACAACTGAAGTTAACTATGTTAGCAAAACAGAGAAACCAAAAAGAGGTGATGTAACATCTCCCTAACAGCCCAACAAGCTTGAACAAGAATACATACAGGATAGATAAAAAGGAATTAGCTGGTAATAATTATGCATCTTTCCCTCCTACTTTACATCCCAGCTACTCTGAAGGGAAGAATTTCAACACAACTTTCCCTGCAAGAAAGCAGAGAATCACGTTTCACTACCAACCTTTAGGTTCCCATCTGCTGTTATCCTCAGCCGATTGCAGGATCCACAGAAGTGCTCCGACATAGAGGTGATAAAGCTGATTTGTCCCTGGAAATGTGGCACCTTATAACTCTGAAGAAATGCAGAGCACAAAAAAAAGAAGAGTCAAAAACAGATTCCTCGTTTTTAAAGCTCCACTTGCTCAAAGACCAGAAGACACTTTAACACAGATTTTCTTCAGTTCTAAGATCACACAAGAGAAAAAAAGCAAAATCAGCTTTGTCAGGGGTTACAGTCTACTCTGCCCCTGTTTCTGAAAATTCACAAACTTGTTAAATATTTGCTCTTGCAGTTACCAACTGACAGGTGATGCTAGTAGGCATGTTCTTACTCAGGTATCCATGAGCCATAGATTCATGTAGGCTAGAAATCCTCCATGTGACACTACACACTCTAAAGTAGTACTGTTATTTCACTGAGTAACTGTTTCATCAGGTTTGTTAAGGCGCATAGACAGACACAGACTGACAAAAGTTTCAAAAGCTGTAAATATATGAGACAAGCCTGACATTCTTTATATCTGACTGGGGCATCTAGTAAATACATAATAAGAGTCAAACCACATGCAGGCAGCTTGACCAAAATCCCAGAGTTATTACACTGAGTATTTTTTACTTTGCTTGTCAAATACAAATGCTGAATTTGGGAGGATTTTGAGATTTAGGGCAGGGAAAGAAAGAGGACACATTTCACATGTTCTTCGCCTAACCCCACCTTGGCTGTGCTGGAAGTTTCACAGGGCAATTTCTCCAATTCAGGCCATCGCTGTTTAATTGTATCAAGCATTTCTTTGTAGCTCACCATCTTCTTGAAGTTCCATTTATTGCCTAGAATTAATAAAAACATTATAACTTTAGAATATGGATTTTCTTTTTTTCATTAGCAGAGAAGCACCTTTACTTTCTCCACAAATCTCAGTTTTCCCTGTAGTGCCCCAGCCCCCACTAATCCTGATACTAGTCCTTTCTTCAGCTTATACAGGGAAGACAGACAGACAAGCTTCAAGAGAGACATTGTAAAACTCAAGGCAATTCCTAATTCCCCAAAAGAGCTCACCAAAACTTGCAGAGACAAGCCCATGGGGTGAATAACCACCAGCTAGATACACCTATGTCTGAGGTACGTTTCGTGCTGTGAAAATCTCAAAGCAGGACTGCTTACCATCAAAGGGCATGTATTCTATGAACCGCACATCAAGGGGCAGATCCTTTGTGAAATCCACAAAGCCCAGCAGTTCATCCTCATTGAAGCCTCTCATCACCACACAGTTTACCTGCAGGAAAAGCAGACTCCTGGCATTAGTCAGCAGAGTGTGACTTTCTTCCCTCTTACACAACGTTTCATAGTCCTTGCAGAAGGCAAGGTAGATATAAAGAACATTTTGGGGAGGTTTTTGAAAGAAAAGACGATGAGAGAAGTTGGCAGGATTGCAATGGTATAGATGATAACTTCTGCCAAACTTGGCTGTAAGTTTTTCCATTCAACCTAACTAAAGTTGTTAAACTTGCTTTCTTAAATGGAAAACTAATAAAAGCTAGGTAACAGATGCATCAGCTTACCCATCTAAGGTATAGTCCATGCTGTGTGGCTTCTGTAAAAAGTACTGCCAGGGTACTGTCTATAGAACTCTTTATGGCGTATCATAAGCAAATTCCCCAGACCAGGAAGTGTTCACAGTGCACTCCATAACCATAGGTTGCAGGATGACTAGCTCTGCTTTCCTCCATGAAGAGGTTAAAACTGAATTTTCCGCACGTTCCTCATAAACAATATTTACATTGGAGCCTTGGGTCACCTATACTTTATCTGAAGAACAACAGATAGCTGCGCAGTTGCTAAAACACTCCCTGTTAGCAAGGCAGATTTGTATGTCCAAGCATCCCAATTCTTGAGAGCTTTCAGGAAAGCCTAAAGCGTAGTTTAATTTCAAGTGGTTTTCATAGCTCTATAGCCTAAACCACTTGCACGTAGCAGATCTTCCAAAACACTAGTGAAACTAAAAGGAACCACAGCTGTAGCACAGCCAACAGCTGAGTTAGGGCGAAGTTTCATGTCACAGCTAAGTTGGTTTACCTCCACCTCCAAAGGAGGACTCCATTTCCCTCCCTCTCACACTGGCACTCATCAGTCTGCTGTAAGCAGCTGGAGGAGATAAAGCAAATGAAAATTAACATCCTTCAGCAGGGCAGTTTTCTGCCTGTTAATTTGCTTGCCCAAGTTCACATCTGGGTCAGACAAGTGCCAAATCAATAGAGGGGGTAGGAAGAGGCAAGTACTGAGCAGGACCACCCCATAGCCTGCAGCAAGGCAATCGATAGGCTGTGTGGCAGGATGAACCTGTACCCTCAGCTGTGCAAGGAGATTATATCAATTTCCCCTGTTACTTCTTGATGTGATCTTCAATCTAATATTTTTTTTTTTCAGTTTTAACAAAAATTATTCATGGGTGGGTGTGTGGGCGTGTGTACAATAATAAATTCCTCATCAGGTGAACTGTGTCTTTTATCAAAATTTCTGGTAAAACACAACAATTTCAGAGTAAACAAACACTGGCTTTACCTTAACAGGACGGTAGCCAAGCTCAGTGGCTTTGTGGATTCCTTCCATTACCTTGTGAAAGCCTAAGATATAAAAAGAATAAAAAATTATTTTTCTTGTTTAAAAACACAGTGCAAAAGGTTATATTAAGTACAAGACAAAAATATGACAAATAAAAAACAATCCGATTCAGCAGACAGAGTTGCAAATAAGAAGAGCTGCAAGTCAAGAGACTTCAATTCTACACGCATACACACCCCCACAGGCTGCCAGTGCTACTGTGGTTAAGTCACTGAGATCAATTTTTTAACTGGCATTTGGTAGTCAAAAGTACTGGTATGCTTTTCTACATCTTTGGACATCCATGTATCATTAACATATGATTCTCTGCTTCCCCATACATCAGCATTGCTTTCTGTTACATTCTTCTTAAAGGGAGTGGAAAACATTTGTGAACCGACTCCAGATGCAATGAAGAAAAAAATAAATTAATGTTTACTTGATAATAATGGCACATGTGTCTTCACTAAAATGGCAGAATCTCACTGTTCCAACTCAGACAGCAATACAGCTAAATGAATTTTTAAAATATCTTTCTAAAGTGTGTGTGGAGGGGAGTGGGGTTAGGAACAAATAAAAGCCCCTTGATTCCCTGGTCATTCCTGGCTGCAGTTATAATTGGCTTCCCAAAGCTAGTGACTACCCATTAGTTTGAAGATCACAGGCAGTATTTTACAGGATCATCATTTTTATGACTAAAAGTGTGAACTTAGTGAGCACAATGTGGGGAGGATCAGAACATTTAGGAAGACAATTCATGTGGCCTTTGACCCTTGAAAACAAATGAAAGGTGTCAAAAACTGCAGTGACCTCAAAGGAATGAAGTGCCCAGACTCACCCTACCATTTAGTGTAGCCTACACTTGTCAGCTGCTCTCAGAGACAAAGTTAATTTGGGGCAAGTATCTTCACCCCTACACGTGCCTCTTAAATTTAGAAGAAAAATAAAGCAACAATGCAATTTTAGAATTCCAAAGGCCTTAGAATAACCTCTTAATCATCTCATTCAAACCACAGCTTCTGTCAACTTTAAACAAAGTTACGACCTTTCATCAAGATATCAATTTTAGATCTGACATATTACTTCTTCCCTGCCACAGTCACCAGCTGGCAGAGAAGCAATGTGATAGTAGCAAGAACGAGACAGCGAGCTACCAAGCTCTTGGTACACGTTTCTGGTGAGTGGGTGTGCTCAGCTGCTGGCACTGTTTGTGAGTGTCTCTCCTACCCTGTCAGGTACTAGATTAAGTTCATTGCCTCTTCTGCACATTAAACTCAGGTATAAGAGACCAAACACTGTATGAGATTGAGGTCCTTTTCCCAAAACTGTAGTCTTCAATGGCAAATACTTCACACGTGCTATCAAAAGCACAGTACCTTTCAGAAATTTGTGCTGACAATCCCTGTGCTGTTCCTAGTCATGTTTTTTCTGCATAGGTCCACCACCCTCCTCTCCCTATCTCTTTATCTCCTGGAAACTCAGATTCTCTAGTGAAGAGACCATACCTTCATTAATCTGTAAGTGCTTTACCAGAAATAAGCAATATCTCAATAATATCCTATGCATACCTAATACTGGATGCATTCAACATCAGAAAAAAAAGGAGAGGCATGAAACTTCCACTTAACTTCTTTCTGGTTGGTAAAGGCATTATGAAGCATGGGCACAGGAAAGCAGAAGATGCTAACCATTTTATAAGTCTGTCCTAAAGCTAGTCCTGGCTGCAAAAAGAGAGGTAAAGGGCAAGAAGACAATGAAATAACTCCTGCAAGCAACTGTTTGAAGTTATGGTTTATCACCCTTCTCCTTCACCACCTACTTGTTTTGCATGTGCCCAGGAAGTTTGCAGCATCAGTGGTAGATTTCATTCCAATTAAGCAAGTTCTCAAGATGAATGTAGCAACAGAGATAACAGTACACTGCTGTAAGCACATCCCAGAGCCACAGATGGGATCAAAAAGCACTGCAACAGCTCAGAAAACCTTATGTGCAACTTCAGGACTGTAGAAAGGTGAAACTGAACTTAACTAAAAAGGTCAGGAAGCAAACACTAGCAAGCAGCAGATCAAAAACCCCACATATTTGAGTACTCGCATGCTTGGGCTCAGTTTGCTGTAGAGGAATGAAACAGGATTAGAGCTTGCAATGCATCTAACCCAATGGCCTTCCTAGTTCTGCCTCTTTACCTCCTGCCACACTACCACAAGAGTGTGCTTTAGAACAGCTATCAAAAATCTCTGCAAACAAAAAAATGTAAGCTATTGTGATTAACAACTATGAGCTTGTTTCCACTAAAAGGTTTTGGGGGCAGGGTGATTACTTAAAATAAAAATTTGTTACAGTAAAAAAAAAAAAAAAATCTGTAACTACATTTCATATTTTGATGTTAATGGTTGTCTGTTTTTTCTTCATGGAAAGCTGTTAGGAGTTCATTTGTATTGCCATACTTACTGAAACATCCCCTCTACAAAGTCTTTGTGTGGTAATGGAACAACAAAAAGCATAAAACCAAAATATTTCAAAATATTAGAGCATAAATTAATACTAAATATCATTGTGTAAGAAAATACTGTCAAGGCTCAGAAGTTCTCTAAGTTTTTGTTTGACATTTCTAAATGACAACACTTCTCCTCTTCCACCCAATAAAAATTTCAGTATTTTCATAATTTTAGATTTCTTCTGAAATCATAACTTCAGACAACTTTAAAGCACAGAGAACCTTAGACACATCCAGAACAATCCCATGTGGGACAACACTTCCCAGCATCCAATCCTTACAAGAAAGTCTTCAAGCCAGTGTTTAATGATTCAATTACAGTAAAATATTATCTCCTTTTTCATTCAGTATAAAGAAAATAAGGCACAGGCTGTGAAAAAGGTTAGACTGGCTACCTGCAAGAAAGTACTTTTCATTTGTTCATCCCTTAGAATATGATAGATGGGGAGAAGTAGAAATATTATTGTCTTCTAATGCGCTTTCATACGTCAGTGAAATCTCTGATGACCTCACAGTCATTCCCTCTATCCCAACCATTTGGAAATAAAAACAGGTGTAATGCGAGTCACCTGTACCAAAGATACAAAATTCCAGCCTTTTCTTAAAACCCTAAAATGAGTTTCCAGAGGAGCAGAAAAATTGATTCCAAGTTTCTTGAGTTCCTGGTTAGTTCCATAATCTGATGCCACCTTTACTTTCCATAGAAGTTACCAGCCTGTAGGAGTCTAAGACCAGGAATCCCTCTCACCTTAATAGAGCTATATCTTGTCGCCTCTGGAACTGCCACAGGAGACAGGGTAGCACAGTAGGGCAGGCACTTTATTCTCTGCTCATTCCATACTTGGAAATCTCCTATTAAACAAAAAACCCTCAAAAACAATTAAAAAAAAAAAAGGTATTTTTACATAATTTCAGCCCTTAACAAAAGAAAAAAAAGCAACTCAGCATTACTATTTTTACCTGATCTGCACTTAAAAAAAAAATTATCTATGATTTGGAAACTTTATTCTCCTCCTTAAAAATACTGAGTCCTAGAAACTTCCCTGTTCATTCTCTATGCTCAGCAGAGCAATTTCTCTCTGTGGTTAAAGACCATTTTTTTCTTTAAAGGGGGAAGAGGGGAAGAGAACATTTATATAAATAAAAATTACCCTCATCCCCCAATAACTTTTAGTTTACTTTGTATGCAGCATATTCCTAACAGTTTCCAATCAGATATGAAGAGCTGTGGCCATAATACTTCGGGAAGCTGGATGATCAGGTTTGCCCCTTCAGTAGCAAAGGAAGGTCTTGTTCCCAGTGAATGTCACAAACCAGGTGATAGTCAAAAGTAGAGAGCAGAAGGAAAGAGCACAGTCAACACCTGCTTGTGATTTGATACTCCCAGATACTTCTCTGGGAGCCAGCTGTGCCATGCCACAACCAGATTAATGCAATAGCCTTACGCTGGCAGGATAATGCTCCAGTCAGATTTACGATAGGAAGAGATTTCTGCACCATGATATAGAAATGTGAAGAAGTGCTCCCAGAGACACTGTAGACAAGGACACCTTTCTTCACCTGCCAGCAGAACTTCTATTTGATGTGTAGTGATTCAAATGTTGAAATTACTTCACACAACAGCCCAGATTTCTACATCCCCTGCCCTACCTTTATCTTATGTTGCTGCACCATCTAGTGGCTACTTGGAGGTTTTGTCTGAATTAGAAATTCACAGGTGGCCAAAGTTATATTACTGGACAGAAACAGAATGATACAAGATCAAATCAGATTTAGGTTGGAAGGAAGCCCAACAGTGAAGCTGAGCTTCATGGTGATCTTTAGGATCCATTTAAACAAGAATCTGTAACACTGGGTACAACCAAGCATTTTTGAAACTTTGGTTGAAATTACTATCTCAGTTGGAGGGTAGTTACAAAGCTAGCACCCCTCCTTACATGACCTCAGGCATAGTTTATGTTTATTCTTATTAAAAAATAGTGGAGGTTTGGAATGTCACTAATCACAAGTGAGACCACTGCTAGCATGCCCCAGGTACAACTTCCAGAAACTGCTGCTATTCGTGACGAGAAGTTCTGCTCTTGTGGCATCTTAGTCCCCAGCTGCTATAGCAGGAACATCTGGTTTTTGAGCAGTATTAAAGAGCAGCGGCACACGAGACCAACACAACATTTGGAGAGTCCTCTTGATATCCGTGACTAACCAGTAATCAGCCAGTTACTAGCAGCTCTCGTGACAGTCCCACTGACTGTGGTGAGTTCAGCATCTTGTACTCCACCAGCTCCAACTAATGGGGCTCTACCTGTCTTATTGTTGTAGAAAGAAGGAACAAGAATCTCTATCAAATAAGCTAGTATTAGACTACTTTTCCTAGCCTCAGAAGGGTAGCAATTCAATCCCTTCCCAAAGTAACCGAGTGTGAAAGACATACCAAACAACTCAGAACATGACTGCAAGTATTAACACAGTTGCTTTAGAAGACAAGCCTGTACCTTTCCTCCGGACAATGAACTCAAATTTAGCTGGGACCAAAGTATCCAGGCTAATGTTAATGGCATTCAGTCCTGCCTCCTTCAGTCGGGGCAGCAATCTGGTTAAGTTGATCCCGTTAGTTGTGACAGCAATGGTTTTCAGCCCTTCTAATTTGTACAGTTGACCTAGGAAAATAAAAAGCAAAAAGAACATTTTAAAACAAGTAATCCAACTGTAAGTTACACTGAAAATGCAAAAGAGGATTTGTGAAACAAAAATTATGACTGAGGGTGTGAGGAAAACATGGACACTTCAGTGCTTCAGCCTTCTTCCAGCTGTATTGGTTTGAGAGACCCATTTTAGCACAAATCTGTTTCGAAAGGTATGAAAGACAGTAGTTTACTGCACGCAAAATTGGTTATAAAGAACACTGAAAATGCACACTAATTTTTTTCTCCTTTTCTTAGAGTAAATAGCTACTTTATTTCTGGAAGAAAGCCTTTGATTTTGTTTACCTTCTTTTCCTCAATCCAGCTTTGCAAACTGAATTCTGTGTTCTGCAATAATAAGCAGCAAGCCACCCCTCCACACCTGGAATCTGAACTAGCTGCATTTATCTAGCAACATTTGTGCTACTATGCTTTACCAAAAACCAGTTCTAACCCAAAGGTAGCTGAGAGCAGTAGTGACTTTAAATTGCTGAAAGAAATGCCACATATACTCCTAACTAAACAGAAAAAAGTCAACGTATTAGTCCATTAAAGAGAATCCAAGGCAACAACATCCAAGGGACAAAATACTCACACTTGGCAACTGAAATATTTCCATTACCCACAGTGGTAGCCCAGCCAATTGAAGTGGGCTTACACAAGACACTAAAAAATGGCTAACAAAAGAAAACCACATAAGAAACAGTTAATATAATGAGATTAAGATTTAGAAAATAGCTGCCGCCTCCTAAACCAAATGCAGAAATCATTAGCATACCAGATCTCCAGAAGGCAGGCTTTCAAACTTCCAGTTATCAGTAAAATAACAAATAGGAAAAAATCCTCATAAACCACTTGCAGAAGCAGAGGCACGGCAAAGTAATTTTCTCATTTTCCCTTCTCCCTTCTCTCATAGCCTTCACCCTAATTAGTCAAGAAATATTTGAACAACCCTTAACGTTGAAGCAGCTTTAATTACAGCACAAATATTTCACAGTCCTTTCTTCTGTCCCTATTTTACCTCTATTTGTACATGTTGATAAGGGCTTTACTTCTGCTTTATCTCATTTCCCAGCTATTCTCAAAATATTTACCCCAAGCTGGGCCCAAAACTGGAATGGGAGAAGCTGGGTCACACCAAAGATGCTGAAGTTTACAGCAGCATCATTTTGCAACATGATTAAGAGCTCCAAAAAGACAGTTGGAACCTGAGGTCTTTACTAAGAACTAGATTTTTGTGGCATTCACCTCTCAAAATCCTCCCCACTGACCAGGAATAACCTCTTCCTAGAGGATGAGTGCTGTTGGCACAAGTTTGCCAAAGATTATTTAACACTAGCTACCACCAGCAGCCAAGTCTTTTTGAAAAAATAGGATAAACACTGCAGCCAAAGGATAGAGTAGGAATACCACTACCTTTATTTACAGCCTCAGAACTCACAAAATGCTCAACCTTCTAACAACGGAGTACAAAAACAGGCTAGCTGCTATACAGGCTTCATTGCTAGAAATGTAAATGCATAAAGGCACTGAATAAAACCAAAGCCATGCTACACCCCAAAATGGCTTAATTTTAAAAAGTACCACCAGCTGATTAGGTCAGTTAGTGCAGGCAGCAGCTGTTATCAATGCATATTCTTCCTCATCAGACAGGAAGAGATATAGGATGAGGCACTGGAAATATACGAATATGTGGAACCACCTGTAATAACAAATTGGATAGAAGCCAACTGTGAGAAATTAGAGATGGAGACTTAACACTAACACCAACAAGTTAAAAAGGACCAGTTAGTACACTCTGCCTTATTTGTGCAAGATAGGAAGTGGAACATTTGCAGTTGCTTGGTTTCTTGGCTTGTTGACCTCTACATTCAAAAGGAATTAAAGAGATTTCATAACTTTGTAACTCACCTTGTACCTGTATTAAGTCTGTTTGCTGACCTTTGGTCACTGCTTTAGCAACAATCAGCACAAACAAAGGCAACTGAGAAAACTATCAAGTGTTATCTAACAGAACAGATGCTATAATTCAATAACATGAAGCTAAAACCTTATATGTCAGGCTCCAGTCATCAAGTAAACCATTTTACATTTACTTTTTCCTTTAGGATCATGAGCATCTTGTTAAACAGGGAAGTTTATTACATATTCTCCTCCAATCGTTTTCTCAATTGCACTTCTCCTGATTGAGTCCAGAAAAGGTATGTGTATCTCCTAGTACATGAATTAACAAGTCTACCCTGCACCACTTCACTCTTGAAATGTGTATGTTGCTATAAAAAGTGATCCAACTGTCCATTCCTCACCCCATGGAAAATTGTCAGTGGAGTTGTGTACTTCTCAGACTATTAATAATAAACAGCTATCACACAGTTTATATCCAGTGCTAATTTAAACTTTGAATATCCCAAAGGATATGGATTCTACATTCCACTATCAGCTGCTTCAGAAAAGTCTCAAACATATGTTTTCAGCAGTCCCCAGGACATGACTTCACTTTCAGCAAGTGTTGATTGCTGAGTCATAGTTTATGTATGTGCATACATTCAAAAATAATAATAATCTAAAGAACTACAGCAAGTCTCTGAATAACATGGTGTCCTACAGTAGCTTCAAACCACATTTGTTCATTGAAACAACAAAAAAGTTTTAACTTGAGTATTAGAAAAATAACGGTAATAGTAATCCAGCATTAATGTTTTTCAGCTTTATTGGTATTTCACAGAACATTTATGTTTAAGAGAAAGGCTTGATGAAAACAAATTGAACAAATCTCAGCTCTATTCAGCTCCTGAAACAAAATGCAGCCAGCTTCTGTAAACCATCTAGAAATCCAGATGAACTCTATCCAAGCCCAAACCATTGTGCTAATATGGCTTCAATAAAGGTGCCTAACTGGAATTCTGGGCTTGTTTTCGCTTCAATTAGTTTTCTCATAGTTGTCTCAAAACTAAACATGTTATCTGTTTAGTTTTGAGACTTTTATCTTGATCCCAGTCTTGTGCACCACAGACTAACACCAAAGTCTGAGAAGACAAAAAGTGTTTATAGACTTAATTTGCCAGTATTCAATATGCCTTAGAAAAAATCAGCCAGGCTAATACGAATTCACAACAGCATGAACTAATGCAACAGGACAACCATTTTAACATCTATTACCTTTACCCCAAGATCACTACTCTGTTGTCACCCATTAAAATGTTCACTATGAATCTGTCAAAGTTCAGCTGTGAACAAAAACCCAAGTAGAATAATGAAAGCCCAGTGGTTCAGAAAGATCTCTTTCAGCCTCTCTTTTCAGCCACAGAACTAAACCCTTGAGAATTCTATCACTGCAGTAAAACAAACAACAAAAAGCTTTGTAGCCTTCAAATATCAATACTTCAGAATTGCAGCAATGCAATAATTATTTTGCAGTGACCTGGCTACTCAACTTACACCCTCAACATCAGGGTAGCTCTGTTGACTATAAAAACCCATCAGCTACTGATGATAAATCAAAAAGGTGCATACACAAGAAGAGAAAGTTCTGCACTGAACCGATGACATTGTTGATTTCAACTCATTTTCATGCCAATACTATATGCTGAACTGCAAACCTTAATTTAAAATTTATTTAAAATACAACCTGTTTTACAAATCTGCCTTCCTTTTGGCTGGCAAAAAACAGCTAAAAATAATTATACCTATTATTATTAGAAAGGGAGAATGCCTTCTTGAAAGGCACATAGTGTGCTCAATCCTAAATAAAAAGTAACCTGTCATGCATTGGCAAAATGCCCTAGAGCATGGTATTCCCGAGCTCCAAAAAAGTGAAGTTAGTGCAGTTTCAGGACTCCTCACAACTAAGGAGACCCAAAGCCAGCTCACTCTAGCCACTTTTCCAGATATAAACAGTTCAGTTCTAAATACTACACTCTGCTGCTTCCTTTGGAAAAGACCATAAAGGTCTTCCAAATCCCGAACAAAACAGAGCAGGAGCAGAGACCGGCTGCTTTCTGCACCAAAGCTCAGTGTATCGTTAGGCAGCTACTCTACTTTCAAGACCTTCATCTTCCATATTAACCCTTTTGAATCCTCAGTACTTATAAGAGTATACATGCAGAAACAGACAAGTTCAGCTGCCTACAATACACCAAAGTGCACTGACCTACATAGCCTTAATCTAATAAATTGCCACTACACAAAGCTATTGTAATGTCCTTAACATACAAGACTTTGGACAGGGGAAAAAAAGCACCTGGCTCAAGAGAAAAACAGGCACTGTCAGTCAACACAATATTAATCAAAGGAGATAGATGTCTAAAAATTACCCAGTAATTTATCTTCCACTGAAGTAATAGTCTTCATCAATAACTGTAAAAACATATAGTTCCTTATTAAACACAGACAAGCAAGTGACATCTGTTATCAAGGAAACAAAACAAAACCACAAAAACAAAACCTGTCAAAAATCCAAAAGAAAACCTGTTTTGTTTGTAAGCATGTATCAACTGTCCCAGTGAGGACCTGGTCACATCAATTCTTGATTTTTCACCCCAAGGCTGCATTATTGCAAGCTATTCTAGTAAATGTTGAATATGAAGAGACCACCAATTTCAGCAGAGACATAAATTCCATTCAAGTAGGAGACCAGAACCGGAAGTTTTCTGAAAGGAACTTTCTTGCATTCTATGATGTTGGGGAAAAGCACTGTCATTTAATGTATAATTATTCCTCAGATTGCTGGCCTGTATTAGTACATAGTTCTAAGTGTCGTTCTTGGATCAACATAAAGCAAGTCACTCTGAAACACACTGTATTTATTGGGAACTCACCCACAATATCAACCACATCGGGACGGATAAGTGGCTCTCCTCCTGTCAGTCGGATCTTCTCTACACCTTCTTTCACAAACAGTCTGGCTAGAGTGATTATCTCCTTAGTAGTAAGTAGCTCTGATTTAGGGGTCAGTGGAACACCTTCCTCCGGCATACAATACTGACCTGAAACAAAGAATACAGAAATAAACGGGGAACAAATAACAAGCCACAGTCAATCTAATATTGATGGGCAAAATGCACCGAGTGCAACTACCTTCAATGGATGTCAAACAACCCTGCTTTTCTGAAATACACACAGGTAAGATCATACACCAAATCTTACCAGCAATCTCCTAACAATTTCCTGTTTTCTTTCAATAGAAAACCCAAGACTTATTTGATGGCTCTCAAAATTACAATGGATCCACTCTGAAGGGAAAGCTGATCTTATTTCTATCTAACCTGCATTCAAAGAGAGACATGAAACTGAACTGGCAAGCACTGGGACGTTACCAGAAACTTTGCAGAGGTAACTGTTGCTTCACATGGGCACCAGTGATACAGCCAGGAGCAGTCTGAGGAGTATCAAGAGGGACTACAACTACAGAGCCCTGGGAGCTGGAGGGACTCTGGAGCACAGGTAGTTTTTTCATTAATCCTCCCAGTCCAAGTGAAGGGGTTTGAAAGGGCCAGTCAAATGTGGCAAATCAACACCGGGTTATGGGGCTGGTGCCACAGCCAGGAGTGTGACTATTTAGACCATGGGACTCACTTTGAGAAACTTGGCCTACTGATGGGTGATAGGGTCCATCTGTCAGAGAAGGGGAAGAGTATCTTCAGTCATAGGCTTGCCAAGCTGGTGATAAGGGATTTAAAGTTGCCAGGGGAAGGGAACCTCAATCTATCCAACTCCTACCAGTTTGATGCCAGTGCCAGCAATAGATGCTCAGAGCCTGGAGAGGGATCGCAGCTCAGCAGAAGAGCACCTGAAGAGCAGCACAAAGGAATTCCAGCCAGTAAGTCAGCTTCATCGGGAGCCCAACTTAAATGCTTCTGTGCAAACGCACATAGCATGGGGAATAAATGAGGAGTTAGAGACATGTGCATGCCTGCAGAGCTACAGTCTTATTGGCATCACAGAGACCTGGTGGGATGACTCCTACGCCTGGAGTGTTGGAATGGAAGGATACAGGCTCTTAAGGAATGACAAGCAGGGGAGACAAGGAGGGGATGTCTCCCTCTATGACAATGACCAGCTGGAGTACATGGAGATCTACACAGGGATGGATGAGGAGCTGAATGAGAGCTTATGGGTAAAGATTAAAGGGAGGGCAGACAGGTGACATTATAGTGGGGGTCTGCTACAGGCCACCTGACCAGGAAGACCGAGCAGATGAGGTCCTCAATAGACAGATAGGAGCAGCCTCACGTTCACAAGCCATGGTCCTCATGGGGGCCTTCAACCACGTTGCTATCTGTTGGAGGGACAACACAGCAGGGTATAAGCAATTTAGGAGGTTTCTGGAATGCATTGATAACTTCCTTCTCCGGGCGATAGAGAAGCCAATGAGGAGAGGGGCTATGCTGGACCTTGTTCTCACCAAGGAAAGGCTGACGTGGAATGTGAAGCTCAAGGGCAGTCTTGGTTGTAATGACCATAAAATGGTAGAGTTCATGATGTTTAGGGCAGCAAGGAGGGTGCAGAGCAAGCTTGCTACCCTGGACTTCAGGATTTTGGCCTCTTCAGGGATCTGCTTGGCAGAGTACTATGAGATAAAGCCCTGGAGTGAGGAGGGACCCAAGAAAGCTGGTTAATATTCAAGGATCACCTCCTCCAAGCTCAGCAGTGATGCATCCCGACAAAGAGGAAGTCAGGTAAAAACACCAGGAGGCCTGCACAGATGATCAAGTAGCTCCTGCGTAAGCTCAGACCTAAAAAGGAAGCCTACAGAGGGTGGAAGCAAGGACAGATAGCTTGGGAGAGATACAGAGAAACTGTCCAAGCAGCCACGGATCAGGTTACGAAGGCCAAAGCCCTGATAGAATTCAATCTGGCCAAGGACATCAAGGGCAACAAGAAAAGCTTCTATAGGTACATCAGCGATAAAGGAAAACTAGGGAAAACATGAACCCTCTCCAGAAGGAAACGGGAGAACTGGTTACATAGGATATGGAGAATACTGAGGTACTCAATGACTTTTGCCTTAGACTTCAGTGGCAAGTGCTCCAGCTACACCGCCCAAGACTCAGAAAGCAAAGGTGGGGACTGGGAGAATGAAGAACTGCCCACTGTAGAAGGTCAGGTTTGAGACCATCTAAGGAATGTGAAGGTGCAAAAGTCCATGAGACCTGGATGAGATGCATCCGTGGGTCCTGAAGGAACTGGCAAAGGAAGCAGCTAAGCCACTATCCATTATATTTGAGAAGTTGTGGCAGTCTGGTGAAGTTCCCACTGACAGGAAAAGGGGAAACATAATCCCCACTTTTAAAAAGGGAAAAAATTAAGACTTGGGGATCTACAGGCCAGTCTGTCTCACCTCTGTGCCCAGCAAGATCATGGAGCAGATCCTCCTGGAAACCATGCTAAGGCACATAGAAAATAGGGAGGTGATTGGTGACAGCCAACATGGCTTCACTTAGGGCAAATTATGCCTGACAAATTTGCTGGCCTTCTACGACGGGGTTACAGCATTAGTGGATAAGGGACAAGCAGTTGACATCATCTACCTGGATTTGTGCAAAGCTTTTGACACTCCCGCACAATATGCTTGTTTCTAAATTGGAGACATGTGGATTTAACAAATGATCACTCAGTGGAGTAAGGAATTGGCTGGATGGTTTCACTCTAAGGGTTGTGGTTGATGGCTCAATGTCTGAGTGGAGACCAGTGATGAGTGGCATCCCTCAGGTGTCGGTGTTCAGACTGGCACTGTTTAACATCTTTGTCAGTGACATGGACAGTGGGATTGAGTGGACCCTCAGCAAGTCTGCTGATAACACCAAGCTTTGTGGTGCGGTTCACACGCTGGAGGGAAGGGATGCCACCCAGAGGGACCTTGAGAGACTGGAGAGGTGGGCCTGTGCAAACCGTATGAAATTCAACAGGCCAAGCGTAAGGTAGTGCACATGGGTTGGGGCAGTCCTGAGCACACATACAGGCTGGGCAATGAGTGGATTGAGAGCAGGCCCTGCGGAGAAGGGCTTGGGGGTAGTGGTGGATGGAAAACTGACTATGAACTAGAAATGTGTGCTCACATTCCTAGAAAGCCAACTGTAGCCCAGGCTGCACCAAGTGTGGCTAGCAGGTTGAGGGAGCTGATTCTCCCCTTCTGCTTCACTCTTGTGAGTACTGTGTCCAGGCCCCAAATATAAGAAGGACATGGACCTGCTTTAGCAGGTCCAGAGGAGGGCCATGAAGATGATTGTGGGCCTGGAGCACCTCCCTTATGAGGACAGGCTGAGACAGTTGGGGTTGTTCAGACTAGAGAAGAGAAGACTCTGGGGAGACTTTCTAACAGCCTTCCAGTACCTAAAGGGGGCCTACAGGAAAGATGGAAAGGGACTCTATCAGGGGGTGTAGTGATAGGACGAGGGGTAACAGTTTTAAACTGAAAGAGGGTAGATTTAGATTAGATGTAAGGAAGAAATTCTTCACTGTGAGGGTGGTGAGACACTGGAACACGTTGCCCAGAGACGCTGTGGCTGCCCGCTCCCTGGGAGGGTTCAAGGCCAGGCTGGCTGTGGCTTTGGGTAACCTGGTCTAGTGGAAGGTGTCACTGTCCATGACAGGGTAGTTGGAGCTATATAATCTTTAGGGTCCCTTCCAACCCAAACCATTCTATGATTCTATAAATGCCTAGGTATGAGCCTTTATGCTTATCACACACTTTGAGTGTGGCATACAAACATCCACAAGAACCATCATCCAAACCACACCAAGTCTGATGAAAGACCTGTCATTTCCACCTGTCTCTGGCAGATCCCCAGGCTTGCTCCTGTTTCCCCATCCCACCAGCAGGTCAGCCCCAAATCAGTCTATATCTATTCTTTACCATTACTTTGTGAAGACAAGAAACAGCACAGGGCCAACACACCAATAAGTACCATAACTCAAGTCTTGGACTTTGCACAATATGGTGCATAAGAGCTTTGTGCGAGAAAGCAGGCACTTACACCTGAGGTTGCATTTCTCAGTCAAAGAAATTCGCAAATAGTTGTGCTGACGCCCAAAGCTGTCTGTCAAAAAAGCAGAGAAAGGAGCAGCATGTTCCAGTAGAAAGCGTCCTCTTCCTGAGCTTTGCAATTCCTGTAATGAAAACAAGCAAGTGCTAAATATTTGAATAGTTATCCTACCAACCTGCTGTATAAATATTAACTTTGAACTTGACTGATAATTATTATTCCATTTTTCCCCACAGGGACAGCTGCACAAGAAAAACCTATGACTTGTCTTTATGATGAAAACTGGCCATTTATTGATCAAGTTTCTCACCCTACTTAATTCCATGGAACTGTACTACAATTTTCCCTGTGCATTTTAAGATACAGGCTCTTTGCCACATGTGCTTCAGGCTATTTGTACAGAATAGGAGGCAGCTTTTTTCAGTTGCATGTCTTTTCACTTTCCAGAATCAACAATCCAGGACCACCCAATCACACTACTTCCCTCAGATAAATGAAATCATATAGAAGGGTCCCTCCCTGCACTTCAGTGCAAGAGAACTAAAAGTTGATGAAACACTGCATGCCTGCTTGTGTCCCTACCAACCTTCATGTGCAAGACATAACATCTTGTTAATAGCAAAACCAAATTACTTCTGTGTACAATTATGTTTCATGATGTCTGTTTCAAGAACATTTCCAACAAGCTCTCCTTGCCCAAATCCATACAACAGAATACTTCCAAAAATCTTGTCTCATTTAAACGATTTTAAATAACACAGGGCACAGTGGGACTGGAAAAAAAAATGTATGATCCTGAGCACTCCACCTGTTCAAGCCTGCATAAAAAAATTCAAAATATTAATACTGTTTTTATTAACTGTCACAAAGTGAATATTAAAAGTGATTTCCATTCACAATTTTTGGGCTGTTTTTTTTTGTTTTGTTGTTTGTTTTTTATTTTTTTTTAAAGCAGAGTGTAACGTATTCTAGAGCAACACAGTTTTCGGGAAGTACTGAGTCTTGCCCTCCAGAACAAGGGCTGATCACTTTAGGTATCGAAAGAAATATCCCAAGTTAGTAGCTGTTACTGAAAATTAATACAGTTCAATTTTATACCAAGAATCTTTAAAACGTCACTACCATCAACACCAGAACACTGTTGGTTATAGCAAGGTCTAAATGCAGGAAGTCTCACTGCCTTTAGCCCATGACTTTCAAATTACCATATCTCTATTTGTGTACACCTGTAAAGGACAGCTGAAACCACTCTGCTACTGTTTGGAAAATATTTCAATACCTTAAGTGAAATGTACAGTAACCGAATGTCCTGGGTTGAGTGAGTGGTGGAGTTTTTTGGTGGCAGGGGAGGGGGCTATCGGGGCGGCCCCCTGTGAGAAGCTTCTCGAAGCTCCCCCAGCTCCACGTCAGCTCCACTTCTGTTTGGGAAATTGAGCCAATCGGCTGCGCCTCTGCAATAACGTATTTAAGAAGGGACGTGGTGACGGGCAGTCGGACTGGTGAGGAGGAGTTGCTGCAGCTGCATGAACACCAAGGTCAGTGGAGGAATGGAGGAAGAAAGGAGGGGGGAGGTGTGCCGGAGCAGAGACCCCCCTGTATCCTGTGGGGAGATGGCAGGGCGGCACCCCCCTGCCACCCATGAAGATCTACGGTGGAGCAGACATTGATTTATGGCCTGTTGCTCCTGCTCAGCTGATCAAGGTTCTGTGCCCAAAGAAGGGCGGGGTCTCATGGGAAAAGGTAGCCCCGCTGCTGTAATTCAGCGCTGGGAGGATTGCAGCATGCGGGGGAGTCCCACGCCGGAGCAGCTCGGGAAGGGCTGCAGCCTTGGGAGGGAATCCAGTCGGAGGAAGTTAGTGACCCATGACAGAGCAGTGTAGGGAACGCTGCAGCCCGTGGGAGGAACTCATGTCGGAGAAAGTTTGTGGAGGACTGTCTCCTGTGAGAGGGGGACCACGATGGAGCAGGGGGGAACAAGTTTCGGACACTCCCCTCACCGAAGATGAAGAAAGTGGCAGCGCTGACTGCACCCCCCATTCCCTGCCCCTGCGCCCCTGGGGGAGGAGGTAGAGATATCGGGAGCAGAGCTGAGCCTGGGAAGAAGGGAGGGGTGGGGGAAGGTGTTCTCAAGATGTGGCAATGCTTCTCACTGTCCTACTCTGTTATGTGTTGTTAGTGTCTGTAATAAATGTACGTTCTTTTTTTCTTCCCCTAACGAGTCTGCCTTTTGCTCGTGATCATAAAGGGGAATTTTTCCCCATCCCAGTCCTATCTCGAACCCCAAGCCTGGCTCTCTGTCCCTTCTCATTGCCGGAGGGGAAGGGAGAGAGAGCTGCTGCATTGTGGTTGGCTGCCAACCAGGCCTAAACCACGACACCGAACCAACTCTTTTCACAGTACTACAGAAAATAAAAAGTTTACCAATGTACTTTAATCAGCTGGTAGATACTTGGTTCAGGCACTACAAACATCCACAAACAACATCATCCAAACCCTGCCAAGTCTGGTGTCTTTTCATCTACTGTATCACAGTTAAATTAACATTTTATAGGAGGCCAATCTAATAATTCTGACAGAGGCCAGCTGCATAGCATCACAAAACAAAACACAGAAAACAGGGTCAAAATAATTAAAGGAACTATCTTCACTGTGTCCTTGTTAGTTAACCACATACAGACACTTAATAGCCAGCTAAGAAAACTGGAATAAAGCTTAAGGATTCCTGGACTTTCAGTGAACGAGCACATACAATACCATTCCTGGTTACATGGTGTTCACAAAGTTAAAAAAGCGTGTGTGGGAAAATCAGCTGCAGAATTGTGCCCCAAGTCAAAATGCTGACTAGTCTTGATAGGCTGCAACAGGCAAAGGATTAAATAAAGTTCTGCCATAAATTTAAGATGTAGAATGCGGAACTGGTCAAAAAGATACATTAGCTAGTATTCAAACTGCTTAGCTGAGCAAAAGTCATGATTTCCATCTAGTGAAAAACAAACCTGTGAAATCTCCAGACGTACTAAAATTGGCATGTATGGGACGATGCCAAGGTACTGGGCAGAAACACACATAGCTGCGGCCATCATCTCCCTGGCTCTGGTCATAACTAGTAACCACAGGAGTTAATCCTGCACAGTATTTTGAAACAGTCCTTGAAAGAAGCCTGGAAACAGTCAGCTAAAATGTTGAACCACCCAGGTGTGCTTCCTCAAAACATTTTGTTCTGAAAGCATTTGTAAGAAAGATTTGGGGGTGAGTGGAAGACAGAGAGGACACCCTCCGTGACCAGATCAGCAAGGCAGCAAAGGCTATCTGGGGAGAGGCCCACGTTCAGCCATCAGCAGCTGCAGCGTTTTGTTTCCAGCTGCTTTAACACCAGGGCTGCTGCTAAACTTATAAGCAGGAGCGGTTTCTCTTGGCAGCACGATCTTTCCACTAGCCTTTAAATAATCCACTACACTTCTTGATCCAAACAGCATTGTGGTCAGGTAAGAAGATCTCTGGGAACATCCCTGGCAGTGGGGGGTTAGAGAAGAGAGACACAAAGTGGCGGTTTCAAAGTCCAGAAAGCATCTGTTTACCCCCGATAAAACAGCAGGACCAGTTTCCGCGTAACTGCTTTGCTGCTGGAAGCAAGCAATCTCTTTCAGTTTCTGTTTTGTAGCGGTGGCGAGGCCAGCCCTCCCCAGGCCTGGCCTTCCCTCCCCTCCGTGCAGCACCAGCGGTGTCAGTGGCAACCCCTCCGCAGCCACGCACGATGCTCACACACATTCTTCCATCTCCCTCGTCTCCAACGGGCACAGGCAGAACAAGTCATCTGGGTTTTAATCCCCCTGGGGAAACGCTCCAGCCTGGGCACCCGAGAGTTGTTTGTGAGCTTCGCACAGTTTTAGTTTGTCCAAGAAATCCCAGTTTGGGAGCTTGCTTTGAGTTTCTCTGAATACAAGCAGGGTTAAGTCAAAGAGCCCAGCTAAATGTCCAGACTCAATTTCTGCTTCTTTCCCAGTTAGAAAACTCACCCCTGTACAGACTAAATCTAAAGATATTTTAAATACCGCCAAACTCAGAAAAATCACAATCCTATTTGGATTTCTGATGGTTCTCCTTCCTATCATTTTGGAAAGGTGTTCACATTTCAGAGGGAAAGCACTCCCATGCTCATTGAAATTATTTAAGCCCTTCTTGTAGGAGCACTCTTCTGTTTCTTTCTCAATAACTCATTTTTGCAACTTTTTCAGAATCGGGCTTCCTTACCCACTCCACTTGAAGACAGAAGAGTACAAACCTCCTGCCTCCCTGTTTTAGAGTGTACATTACAAGGAGGGAAAGAAGTGAAGAGTTGTCCTCCCTGACAGAAAGGCAAGAGAGGGAGACTTTAATGACTGTATGTAAGAGATGCCAAAACTGTCTACTTTTGAGGACAATAATATGCTTAAAGTAATTTCTTATTTTCAGGAAGGAGCCACCACTGGAGTAGGAAGCAGGAGACAGTGGTTCTGTTCCTGGTCTGCCATCCACCTGCGTGGCTGTGCAGGCAAGGAAGGTAAAGTATGAGGACTTACCGAAGCAATAATACTGCCCTTCATTAATTACTCTGAAGGGAACTGTCAAGAATCAGTATTAAAAGAACAGGCACACAGCAAGCAGTTGGTGTCAATATACTTTAAAGTTCCTGATGGAAATAACTAACTTTTGCTCTCTTGCTGCAAAATAGTGGGTGTTGGAATGGGGAAAAAAAAAAAAATAAAAAGGTTTCCAGAGCTACTGGAGTTTCTTTCCATCAACTTCATGTCATCTACAGAGATGGGTTTGTCTGGGAGGGAAGAATGACTGGAGGTGGAACTTTTAAGCTGTTAGTTCAGTTTTTGTCCAGTTTGATGTCAGCAAGGAGGAATTATGAGACACCCAAGAGGAGTTCAGTAGCATGAGGTTGAGCTCCAGTGGGAGTGGATCCTGTATTACCAAAACTGCCACTGCACCCAGCACTGACTCATATTTTTATCAGTTCCACAGGCAAGGCCAAATATCAGAGATGGAAACTCAGCTGCCTTCCTGGTAACTCAGAGCAAGAATGAAGCACTCTCTCACGTAGTTGTGTAAGT